TGCAAAAAAAAAAGATATATATATATATATATATATATATATATATATATAACACTTGTATTCTGCTCATAAGCTTGAACAAACTGGTTCTGAATCTTCAGGCAACAGATTGGCAAGCTCTTTCGAAGCTATCCTCCGCCGATGATGCTCGTTTCACGAGCATGTGCTCCGGGTGCGAAAGCTTCAGTTGGCTGCAACATCGTCTTCGTCACCGGAGAGACCATACGTCGATATATACACACATATATATATGTATAGTTTTGCAGAGATTGTGGCTCATGGATTGGAATTTGTGAAGTTATTTGACAATGTGGGGACAAAACGGGATCTTACCTTAGATATCGCGAGGATGATTTTCCGACGTGAAGACTGCAGACTACGAGGTTTGCGAGAGTTTCCGGGTCTTTAGCGTCCTGCCATCATAAAAAAAACAACTCTTCAAGCTCGGTCCTTTGGAAATTAACAACATTTACACTTCAAGTTTGAGGATTTAAGCTGTTTATCAAGGAGCAGGTATAGTTTTACGGCCGAAATGTAGCGAGAGAGTTTTAAAAATACGTATTTCATGGCATGAAGCATCGAGTTAAGAAGATAAGTAAGCCCGATTTACTTGCCTTGTTGAGTGCTTCGAGCAATAGTGTTTCAGCTTCTTCAAAGTTACCCATATGCATGCAACAAACCGCCTTTCCGTTCAGGATCAAACAAGTCATCGGGTATTTCTCGGAGAAATCCTGGAAAATGAGATAAGCTTCCTGAATTTTGGACCCGCCCTGAAAATCACCGTACAAATTAGTATGGTAACATAAACGATCTCCAAAAATGTACGGCAAATAGATCGAAATATCATCACATACAACAGCAAGGTCCAACCAGGCGTTGGCAAGCTGAGTGAGCGTGTGATCCTCATCAATCTGCTGCATCACTCTGAGCTGCTTCTCAGCATGATCAGATCTGTGCATCTTAATGAATATCTGGACATTCAATGCATGCCTGCAGATGCATGAAGAACATGCAATCTCAGAGTAAGAAAGAGCAAGAGCTTAAAAGAAGAAAAAAAAACGACACAAGAAACAGAAGACCCGATTTTCAGCATGTGAATTTCAGCGTAACGAAGACAGAAAGATTTAAAAATCAGGTGATATCTCCCTAACACACTTAACTATTGGCAAACACACGACTATATCCTATTTATAACTCATTCAAACTCGTCCAGCTAGATAGATAGATCAAAGTTTCGGGCTTTTGGCTTGCTTACATATCTAACTACAAGTCTGGTCCTAAACAGATGAAAGGAGCTTACAGTTCCATGTTCCCGCCAGCATTGGTGTGCTTCAGGGCCTCATTATAGTCTTCTTCGTGCATGAATATGATACCAGCGATCAACCGTAAAACAGGATTGTTTCCTATAGTTGGGTCTTGCAACCATTCCCTCAAACTTGAAATGGTTGATTCCTGACCCAGAATGTGTCCCAATCAGGTCAGAGGTCAATCAAGAACTGCAAGATCCATAAGCTAAGAAGAGTGGATGATTACATAGTACGACAGAGAAAAACACAGCATGGCGTGATCAATGATCATGGATGGAATGTTTTACAATGATTCAATGAATTCAGTCCGAAACGTGATCCTCGAATCTGGATGAAATGCCCATTACTCGACTGAACTCAGTAACTCAAATTCAACATCACTGTTCTATGCTCAAGTTCGAAATCTTTACTAACCCTAATCAGAAACTCCGAGGTCTGGGAACACTAATCGACCCGAACGCATAACTGGTAACACCATATCGAAAAGGAAATCTAAAAAGGACCCCCCAAATCACCTTATTTTCAGGGTTTGAGAGATACAAAGCGAGAAGCTTCACCGCCTGCAGAGGAGTAGCGGCCGATTCATCGATCTCACTAATCGCAAGCTGATAAAACAAAATCCACAACCACGTCGCATTACCACGGATCAAATCAAACCACAACAAAAAAAAAAAGGTTTTCAAAAGAGATTCAACACACCTGATAGCTACCAAGGGCGATGTATGAACGGAAGACGAGGCAGTCGCGCTCGATGGCATCCTCCGGCGAGAGATTAGGGATGTCACTGTTGTTGATCGCCGCCTGGTAAGCTCCCAAGTAGAAATTGTTCCTCAGATTGAACAGATGATCTGGTCCTGCCGCCATCGCCGCCATTTTGTCTTCTTCTCTTCGCCTTCTGCTCCTCCTTCTTCTTCTTCCTCTAGATCTCAGAGATCCGCTTCTGGTTTCGAAACGATGAAATCAGAAGAACAATACAAAAATTAACTTTAGACCTTAACTTTTAAAACTTACACATATAGCCCCATAACTTTTTAAATTAAAGTTAACACCTTAGTCTAATTTGGGCCTAATGGGCTGAGAACGATCCGGCACGGAATCCTTAGTAGGCCCATGTTCCGTCCTAGAAACGAGTTGAGACGTGCCGAGGCGAGTTGGCTCATTTGACACCTATATATATACACACACGCATATACCCATATGCATGTGTCTCTCTTTCCTCTCAAACCGTATACCATCTTGTATATTATACATAATCAATGGGGTATATCCAAAATATCCTACTAAAGTTATTTCTACCCACACAATCATATGATCAGAATAAATATATAATATAACGTTAAATTTACGATGATGCATATTATATTAATCATTTGAAAAAATCATCATAAATTTAATAATTTGATTAATATGATCATCATCGTACTGTCGTTCTAATCAAATGGTTATATTCATAGAAGGATATGTGTAAAAATAATTATAACAAAACCAGGTTCTTATCAATTAAATAAATTCTTTAGTCATGCTAATCCATATAATTTTTTTTTGTATTTATCAAGGAAAAAAAGATAAAAAGAAGAGTGAAAATAATAGTAAAATCAAATGGACTGACGGATGAACAAGTTGGCACGGACAAAAGCTAAAAACACATACGTTTTTGTAATCATTTGAAATCCGATGCTTTTGTTCCAACGAGACAATGGCGACAAAAACAACAATATATATATATATATATATATTAATATATAGATATATAATATACACAATAATTACCCAATAGTGACGATATACATAAGACTCGGGTTTACGTACTATATTTCTTATTTGGTTCATTTTATGAATTCTACTAAAATCGTATATTGTATATTTAAATTTATTCGATTATTAATTATAACAATGGGAATTGTTTTTACGATTTGATGATATTTAATGTGGTAGATCAATTTGTTAGGTATTTAGCAATTTCTTTTGGATATATTCAAAATGGCTTGACTTATATAAATAGTGGCAAAGTGGACCATTTTTCATGTTCATTTAACTCTATATATATAATAGGCATAAAACATTTTATTTTCTAAATACGTCTTAATATATTGTCGTGTTGCCCTATGATTGTTATTAATTATCGTGAACCGATTATTATAGCTAAAACTCATTGGATGACAATTAATTATTTAATTAGTTAATTAAAGATAACAATCTCTAATAGAGTATAATTAACGGATAAAAATTAATTATTTGATTAATTAAAGGCTAATAATCTCTAACAGAATTTCATTGATGTGTAATATACGACTATGGTTTTCTCTATGAACTTAAATAGTACTTAAAGGCCTTGAGTTCTTCCCCACACCACGTAAAGCCATCCATGCACATATGGCTTTATAAGAAGGTCACGTGCTACACAACCCGAGAAATTAATTTATATATGTATAATATCATAATTTATCATACAAAAATCATTAATTAAAAAAAAAAACAGTATTCGTAATCACTTTGTAAAGATGGCGATAATGCAGTTCAATTCTCGATGTAAATGATTATTGTCATATTATATTATAATACAAACTTCCTTGGTTAGTACGTACTTCATGCAAATCGATCGTTATATAATTTGCTCAACGTTATCCTATATGTATAATTCCATCGCCAATAACTTGTATGAATATGAATATTCCAATATAGTTTTTATTGGTCATTTTAATCGTATTCGTAATTTATATATTATGAATAGGAATTATATGGTAATTTAACAAATATATATATATATATATGAATTATATGAATAGTCCATTCACATCCCATTTTTTTAAAAAAGAAAGAAATGTGTGTTCGGTTAACTTCTAATCTAAAGTTACTAGTTTTCATCGCATTAATCTCCGAATTTGAAGATATGACAAGATTTTCTAATATGTTTTTTTTTTTGTAAAATGCAAGATTTTCTAATATTGTATAAAATCTAAACTTGAGGGTTTCGAATTATTAATATATATTTTTTTATAACCAGAATAACTCTTTCACCTTCGACCCATCTATCCACCCTACATTCGGGATCATCATTTGGTCTAAAATATTAATATAATATAAAATAGGAATTAAAAATTCCAAAAAACTAGCTTGAAATGAATAGGTGATATAATTGGTATATGCATGAGACCATTGACACATCTAATGCACAATACTAAATCGTTTTTTAATCAAATATTTATTACCTACTATAATCAAATTTGTTACAGTTTCTATATAGTTATATATCTCGATATTTATATTATATTGGGTTCACATACATGCATACACATATAAGTACGTACTTACATAAACACATATTTGTATGTGAAAAATATTTATTGGTTTGATCTTCTTTTTTTTTTTTTTGTTCTTCCAAAGATAGATAACTTGCAAATTTTATTTTAATGCAAGGCAGAAGCAAGGCTCAAATCTGACCGTCCGCGTGGATATATCTATGAACGGCTGAGATTGAAAAGCCAACCGGTGGATGACGTCATCTGTTACGGCAGGTGTCTCGTGTCGAAAGAGGACAAGAGTGTCACAGTACAAAGGATTAACATCCGAACTCAATTTTATTATTTAATTCTCGATATTAATTAATTAGTTTTTATTATTTAAGCCCCTCAACATGCGTCACCGTAGAAAGAGGGAGGCATGACATATTTTAATTTTTTTAGTTTTTAAATAATTAAATTCAAACCGCTTATGTTCAAATAAAAAAAGATGGCAGAGTATAGCTAGGGTCTCGGATTTCGGTTCGAATTCGATTCGGTTATTTCGGTTTTAGAAAACTATAACTTTTCAATTTTTATATAGAATTCAGTTCGATTCGATTCGGATATATTCGGTTCGGTTATGATATAAATACTCATTTTTTTTAAAAAAATATATGATTTTTTCGATCCATTAAGTTTTTTTAATTTTACATCTAATTCAGTTCGATTACGTTTACATATTATTTGGTTCGGATTGAAAACTTAGAATCTATTTATTTTTCTGGAGTTTTCTATAAAATAAATTTTAAGTGAATTTTTTATAACAATATTTTCTGAGCTAAAATTTAAAAAAAAAATCGAGATAGATAATGTAAAAAAAAATCAGGGGAAAATAAAATAGAAAATGGTGGGTAGAAATAGTAGTAGTGAGGGGGTTGTCATGCACGAACGTGGGGGCGAAGTGTTTGTCATGAAGCCGACCAATGATTCACACTCTAAACCCTAGGGGTTTTCTATTATTTTTCTGACCATTTTTTAATTCTTTTTTTTAAATATATATATATATATATATATTCTTTTAAATATTATCCCCAAATACCAATCACCCTATATATATATATATATATAATTCCATATAATACCCTAACTATCCAATCTCATCTATGCGAATTCCAATATCCAGATTACAAAATATCATAAAAATATTCACATTCCTCCAAAAAATCAATAAGAAAATCAAATATCACACCAATACATATATATAATATATAATATATGATGGTCCATTTAAAAAATTATGAAAAAGATACTGTATGTGATTCGTTGGTCAAAGCTCAAATACGATTGTATTGAATAAGTTATTATTTTAAGCGGAAAATGTCACTCGTAATTTTTATATGTCTCCACTGTATAATTAATAGCTATATATATATATATGTGTGTGTGTGTATATATATAACCGAACAGCAAGTTGGTTAATTATAAGATTTTATGGTATATATGGGCATTGATTACGTACATAATTATATTTATTTATCCAAATAAACTAAATTTAGTTATGCCACTATGCAATCGAAACATGCTAATACCATGTGAGGAATTAATCACCCAATGGATCGACAAGCTGTTATTCTTGCATTTATTTTTAATCGTACCATATGAATTGATATGAGATTTTATAATTAATTAATTAATTAATCAATAGGGGGTACACTATATATATATATATATATATCCAAATGGCATAAATAATTAAAAAGGAATAATGGTTTCATGTAAATAATGCATCAATCTGTAGTTGGCGACAAATTGGCAAATCTAGAGACAGATAGTGGGCAAGAATATTATAATAAGTTAGAAAAGAAAAAATACAACATATTTTTCATACATTAAAATTTTCGTTTTTTCAATTTTAAGTCTACAATACAAAATATCATTAACCTAATGGTTGTATAATTATATCTGCCAAGTAAGTGATACAATAATATTTTACTGTTAATTATTGTAAGAATAATTATGTAAATATTCGGATCGAAATTTGAATAGAGCAAAATTTATGGAATTATTATTATTATTATTATTATTATAATATATGATCATTATTGTTGAAAGGTTAAGAATAGATTCTGAAAATGTCTAATCGAAGAGATAGGGTCGGTGATTCTTTCAATGATCATTGGCCCATCTCACACTCTCACTTACATCAATCAAATCTTTTATATGAACAGAAAATATACATTCATCCAATGTATGTGTATGATGTATGTATGTATGTATGTATGTATGTATGTATGTATGTATGTATGTATGTATGTATGTATGTATGTATGTATGTATGTATGTATGTATGTATGTATGTATGTATGTATGTATGTATGTATGTATGTATGTATGTATGTATGTATGTATGTATGTATGTATGTATGTATGTATGTATGTATGTATGTATGTATGTATGTATGTATGTATGTATGTATGTATGTATGTATGTATGTATGTATGTATGTATGTATGCACAAACATGAAATACATTCAAGAAATGAAGCCTAACTCATTAAGCAAACCAACACAACGATCAACCATTTTCCAAATTTTTTATTCAAAATGGATGATCCATGCGTATGTATACATACATACATACATGCATATATATATATATATGGGCATACCTACAAATTTACATAGGGTATCATATGTCTCCATTCATCTTATTAAAAAAATTTAATTTCTTTATAAAGTTTATAAAATTTTGAATAAAATTATTAAATACTCCGTAAAATTCAACTTATCCATAATACAATTAAATTTGTCCACAATTATATATTTCTGTTTCCATCACGGTGTATATATATATATATATATATATATATTGTGATATATGGAGATTTCAAAGAATATAAAATTTCATTTTAATTAAGGGGGAAAAATTAAAGGGATTAATAAGGTGGCACATGTTCCTCGGCCCAGGAAGAAAACGTACTCCGAGAAATGCGGCTGCTTGCTGCATCTCTTTACTTCCCCATCACTTGTTTTCCTTTGGTCCCTTTCACACATATACACACATACACATATATACATGCATATATATATATATACACACACACATGGATTAATATATAAAATACGGACGATTCTCTTGGTGGGTATTTTTCTTCAATACACGTATATACGACGCACGTACCGCTGTATATATGATGTAAAGTTGATGACTGGGATATCTAGATATGCTTAAATTATTATTTATTAATTGTCACAATATGGTTATATATAATCTCTAATCTGATCTTGAAGAAACCCTAAATAAAGTGCGGTCCAATCTATTTTTGTGATCACAAGCAAATTATATTTTTTGTCTTTACTAAATTTATACATTAGTTTACAAAGACGAATTGTATCATTTTGATAGGAGTGTCAATTTAGCTTCGAGTTCCGAAGATATGTGAGTCCATCCGAAAAATATCAGGCTTCGAACTTAAGTTTTTTGGTCCGAAAAAAATTGGGCTTTCGAGTCAGACTTTATTCGGACTTTGGATCCGATTCAGGTTACTCGAAAGCCTGATATTTTAAAAAAAATTAAAAAATGATTACAAAGAAATTTAGCGAGGCGGTCCGAACCGACTTGATCTCAACCCGAAATTTATAGGATTGAACTTTAGGGTTAGTTATATAGGCTCGAAAAGAATTGGACCGACCCAAAATCCTTATGCCAAATACGGATTCGAATGGACTCTATTGACACCCCTATATTTTGATAGGCTATTCGTCTGCTTTGAGTAATTATATTAAATTACCAACTTTATACAAATTGGCGAACTCAAATATTATTATTATTATTATTATATAAATATATTTTTCCATTTACAAAGAGATAATGTAATTAAAATTTCGAGACTCGGCCTTCTCGATCGATGGATCCATATATTAAAACTATATTATTATTCGTCACCCGCTTAATTATTTTATGATTACAGCATCTATAAAAACCTTTAATTTTATATTTCGTACGAAATCACTCTCTAACACATAAGAGAAGGAGAAGAATATGTTATCATTAATGTGAAAAGTCAGCGTCTCCCTCTCTCTCTCTCTTCATCAACACCGTTCTTCTTCTTCTTCGTCTTCTCTCAGCTCTCTCGATCATAAAGATTTTCCAGGAAAATCTTCTTGAATTAAGGATTTTCCCAGAAAATTCATCATCTCTTACTAAACCCAGTTTTCCCCTCTTGTTCGATCGTATATTCCCCTAGAAAACCCGGATCTTTTTAAGGTTTATCCGCTTGGATTGATCATGTGTTTCTTGATTTTCTGATTCTTTGTTGATTTTTTTCCCACAGCGTATATACACACACGCACGTATATACATATATTATGTGCAGTGTGTTTGAGTTTTTGGACATGGACAGCTTCCAAGGAGACCTAACCGACATCGTACGAGGAACCGGCGGCGGCGGCGGCGGACACGTGTCACCGTCTCCCATCCCGCCGGGGATAAACTCGCCGCCGCAGTCAGATCTCCACGTGGACTTCCCCTCCGCCGGATTCGGAGATCCGTTCGTGAACATGACCGACCCTTTGCTCCAAGAGCTCAACATCGTCGCCTCCTCCGGCTACTTTCCCGGCGGAGCCATCGCCGAAGACAACATCGACAGCGCCGCCGCCGCCACCATCAGCTGCAGCAACAGTAATAGTAACAACAACGATTTCAAGGGTCGTAAGGTATTTGATGAAGACGATCATATCCAGAATCGATGCAGTGTCTTCCCAAGAATCAGGATCTCCCATAGCAACATCTTCCACGAGGCCTCGCCGTGTAATTCTCCGGTGGTTTCTGCGGCAGCGGCGGGGGGGGCTTCTCCGCCGCCGGGTGTCATCAGAAGATCTCCGGTGGTCGGAAACGACATGATCAACGTCATCAATGATGCAACAAACAGTCCTAGAAATTGTCTGATCGATAATAATAATAACAATTCTTCCTCATCGCAAGTCCAGATCTCTTCTCCGAGGAATCTTGGCCTGAAAAGAAGGTACGGGATTAATTCATTTGATCAAAATATACTTTGATATTTGTGATTTAAATTAATTTTTTTTGTTTCTTGGTATTTGATTAAACGAGTCATTAAATGTTATAGGTCCATAAAATATACACACATCAATAAGTGTAACCCAAATGATTAATTATTCCCCAAGAGGATTTAATTACTTGATTGAGATTAATCTATTTTGATCTTATATCTTCCATTTGGAAACATGGGTTTTCATGAAATCATAACAGGGAAAAAAAGAAATTATCAAAGAACTGAGCTAGGGTTTTATTTCCTCCCATCACACAGGAAATCAATTTCCTGTCTTTATCATAAATCTATTATGTATTCGTGTGCATACACATACATACACACATACACACACATATATATACACACACACACATGTCATAGTCTTAATCCATGGAGAGAGAATCTATGATCTGTCAACATTATGAACAAACAAAGAACATATAAAACTGAAACTGCATCACATTCAAAACCAGGAAAACAAAAGTAGGAGAAAACCTAACTTACCTGTCCCACATTCCATTATCCACAAACTTAGCTTTCACATACCTTATAACATATATCTCTCTAGTGATTCATATTGGCACATGCTTGCGTGTACTTTAAACAATACAATTCCAATGGTTACATACACACATAAATACATGTATATACATGTGTGTGTGTGTGTGATATAATATATTGCAGGAAGAGCCAGGCGAAGAAGGTGGTTTGCATACCGGCCCCGGCGGCGGCAAACAGCCGGTCGAGTGGAGAAGTGGTTCCATCTGATCTATGGGCTTGGCGAAAATACGGTCAAAAACCCATCAAGGGTTCTCCTTATCCAAGGTACCACACAGACATATATATATATATATATATATGTATGTGTGTATGTATGTATATGGTAATTAAAGAACTACACACATAAGTGTGTGTGTATATATATACTCATATTCTAATGCATATATATATATACACACACACACCCGATCATGCATAAAAGTACATATGATTGATTAATTTCCTAGACACACTAGCTAGGTCTAGAATTCGGTTTTCATTATATACAAAGGGCTTAGTTTAATCACATTTCACATTTCATCAAATTAATATTTTTTGTTTCATTCAAACATTATAATAATGCATGTGTTTTTTTTTTTTAAATTTCTTGCAAGCATGTTAGCTTCACCCAATCTCGAGAAGTTCAAACGGTTATTTATCGGCCCATATATATATATATATATATATATATTCATATTAATGCATATTAATTGTACATTTAAAACTTTCACTATACAATATATATATATATATATATATATATATATATATATATATATAAACGCACGCTCTCATTTTGGTGACCTAAATTTTATGCAACATGTCACAAATTTCCAACACTGCAGGGGCCTCTTTGTTCGATACAACATTTGACGACGAATCATATATTTTAAGTAGTAAAAGCACAAATTTAAAGATCATATATAATCCATAAATAGCCACGGTCGGTCCAATATTTATAATTTCGAATTGTATGATTTCACAGGGGCTATTATAGATGCAGCAGCTCGAAGGGTTGTTCGGCAAGAAAGCAAGTGGAACGAAGCCGGACCGATCCGAACATGTTAGTCATCACTTACACGTCCGAACACAACCATCCATGGCCCATGCAACGCAACGCGCTCGCCGGCTCGACCCGTTCCTCGTCCCATTCCTCCAAATCCTCATCCGCAAACGCAAACGCTGCCTCCACGTCGTCATCGAGAGCCTCCCACGAGACAAAGCTCGAGACCCATTTACCAAATGCAAACGCAGCGGTCAAGGAAGAGGTTCGCGATGAACGTCAAGACAAGATGGATCTCGACAACAAAAACAACGGTAACGGTAACGGTAACGAGGATGATCAGTCGTACAGACCGGAGATTCATCACAGCTCGGAGGATTTCTTCGCCGATCTCGACGAGATAGACGGCGACGATCCTCTGAGTCTGTTGCTCGCTCGAGGGTTTGGCGATCAGACGAACAAAACGACGTCGTCGGAATCGTTCGGCGACTTCTTCTTCGACTGGTCGGTGAATCATAATAACGACCATAACGACGACAACACGACGTCGTTTGAGGACCGAGACGATTCCTCCAACTCCAAGTCCATGTAATAATAACACTGATGAGAAGACGGGATTGCCCTTTACTCCGTGGAAAATGGTGAGGGGTAATGTCGTCTTTTCATGTAGGTTTGTTTACGGCGCGTGCGTGTGAGCAGAGACAGCGGGCCGTTTGTAAACAAAAACCGCTGTTTTTTTTTTTGGGCGAAGTTATTTTATTTATTATTTCTCTTTGGAATTATTGTGAAGAAAAAGACAACACAAATCATAGATAGATTCATATAATGTCTTAGTGCGAGTAATCTGATATTATAAAATAAGATTATTTTATTTAATTCAAAAATAAAATCATATAAATTTGTAATTAAACTATATATACCGATTGAGGTGGATATATAGATTTTTGTTGCATTTATGTATACGGCGATTTTCGTTTGAATTTTTTTGTGTGCTTTTTCTTCATTTCTCAAACGACTTTGTGTTAGTGATTTGTCTTTTCATTTATTTACTTTTACAATTTTAATCAAGTAACTACATTTTATTTAGCATGCATAACTTTGGTTGAAAATGATAAACATATATATATATATATATATATATATATATATCTTCAAGTTTCCAATCCACACCATATATATTTTTTTTAATACCAAATTCCACGATATAATTTAGTTTCATATTGGATAAATATAATAACTCAAACACTATATTGAGAAAGATCAAAAGACAATTCTAACCAAATAAAAATGAAAGATTAAACTATAAATCGTTCCACATTACTCATATCTAAATTTTGATCAATATTTTAATGAGTATGATATCGCAATCATTTTGTATGATTTTAATGCAACATGAACGTTAATCTTTCTCATATTCTAAGAGTGTAGCGAAATAATTTATATCGGCTTTAAAACTTTTAAAACTTTTTGTGTATATATTTACCCAAAAAAGTTATTGTGTATATGCAATAATAAGCATGGAAAGGTTATTAATATATTATTATAGTTATTATTATTATTATTATGTAGACATATATTTTAGGGATGAAAGTTTTAGTACAATTCTTCAGACTTGAATCGTAATGAATAAAAAATTGATATCATTTTCGAATCGAATCGTCCAAATTTTATGAATGATATTTTTTTAATAAAAATCGAAACCGAAATAATTATAATATAACACACGATTGGTTACATATCTTTATACAATCGAAAGAACCGAACCGGACAATTAACAAACCAAATCCGAATCAAATACCGAAATGTCTATCTATTATATTTTTGTCAAAATTACGCGTGCATATGTGTGTGTATATATATAGTGTGAGAGAGAAAGAAATAGGAATGCTGGTTTGATGGGAGCAGAGGAAGTGGGGTTTGGGAATATTAGGCGGATGGGACACAAAGCGAAGGTCTCTATAGTTGGAAACAAGTACACACACATTATATATATATATATATATATGTTAATAATAATATTATTTTAAAAATACATTATATAGGAAATTCATTATTTATTTATTTATGAAAACAATGTACATGCATATTTTTCAAATGGGTCAAGTTATTTGGCCGAGTGTGACTTTCTGCTCTTCTTGTTTAGATAATCGATGTAGCAATTATATTTATAGACCAAAGTTTTTTTTTTTATAATCTGGAAGTTTACCGGGTCTTTGGCCCGATACATCTCCCAGAAGACCGGGGAAGTCCATGTGAATGTCTCTCCCCACGCTTGAGTTTGAACCCAGGATGAGAGCATGATTTGCATGTTCTCTCACCACTAGACCACCCAAGCTTGGGTACCAAAGTTTTAAAACCTCGACGATTCCACCAAAACACGAAAAAATTCTAAGAATTAAAAAATTAGTTCTAAGTTTTTTTTTTGTTTGAAAAAAATGAAGAATAACAAATAAAAGTATAATACAAAAATCGAAATATTACACTAAACCAAATCCTCGACTGATTTTAAATAACCCGATTTCGGGTTCATCATCATCATTTACCAATTTACTTTCAATTCTTTTTTATTTCTAATTTTACCGTAATTTCAACTTAATCATATAAATACCATTAATAACGCTCCTTTCAATTAATCTCTTCCAAAATCTATTGTTAAAAAAAAAATCAGTTCATCGATTGCCATCATATAATACATATATATATATATATATGTATGTATGTATATATATTCACACCAATGAGAGTTATGTGTATTAAGAAAAAAAAATGTGGCAAATGATGATGAGAATCATTTCTAGTTTGACCAAGCATGTGATCATAGAATAAAGCCCTAGTTTCATGGCTTTTCTCAGGGACCGAATAAAAATAGAAAGTGATTAAATAAAACATTATTTCCAAAAACAAATATGAAAATATTCTAAAAGAAAAAAATAAATAGCTAAAAAGAGCTTAAAACAAATATTGCTTTTGAAAATTTTAGTGCCAAAAAAATTTTAATACCTTAATTAACCGTTAGTATATTTAAGGGTGGACTACGGTTTCAAAAAAATACAGTATTTTTTCGGATCGGACTGTGTAGAATTTTCTAATATTATTTGTTTTAAACGAATTTTTTAAATTTGAAACGAACCGATTTTAAAAAAAATTCAAAAAACCGATTTTTTTAAAAAGATCTATTTAAAAAAACAAAATCAAAACCAAACCGAACATGATATAATAACCATTTAGTATATATTTTTATAAAACTGAAACAATCGAACTAAATCATTTTTTTATAACCAGGATGGTTCTCCGGTCCGACTATATCCACCTTAGGCTCAGGACTAGCCTTTGTATATAGACCATTCTAGTCCAGAAATTACATCCTCCATATACGTGGAATCGAATCCAAGATCTTGAAGATGACTTTGTCACCTCTCAACCACTGGACCATCAACGGTTTCGAACTAAATCATTTTCAAATTGAATCTGATTCTAATAACGAAAGTATATTGGTAAATGGTAACATTAAGAGCTATGAGTAGACATTTTAAGTTTGGAAAAATACCTGAAAATTCATGAACTTATAATTTGGTGTAATATTAATTCATGAACTTGTTGATGCGCCTATTTATTTCCGAATTTGTATTTTTTAACACAGTAACTTGCTTAACAGTTTCATAATCGTCCATACTATTAATTGACCAAAGCAAAATTTAGGAATTACTATATTCAAAAAATGCAAGTTTAGGAATTACTGTGTTAAAAAAATACAAGTTCGAGAATAAATAGTTGTTAGAAAAGTTAGATAAATGTTATATTTGAAATCTAATAAATGAGTAGATAATTATAGCATTTTTAATTTTTTAAACCAATTTGTGGTGAATAATAAATTAATTTTTAAATGTGGTTATCCAAAATAAATATAAAAATGTGGTGGAAGAATATTTGTCCATATTGGAAAAATGACAAAGCACAGGGAATGAAGCTTCCTTATATGTGTGTTTGTCACACATCTAAAGTTTTGGCCAAGAGGAAGGAATGAACTTCCTTATAAAAAAAAAGGTCCCCTTGAATCAACAATGTTCAAGTTCAAGGTTGACTAAAGCTAAAAAGGTTTGGATCCATTTCTTCCTCTTTGTGAGAAAACGAGCAAAGTTCCTTGAGTGGAACGTTTAAAATTTGAATTGAAAGTTCCATTCGGAATTATCGATTTAGAGAATAACGTTTCAGTGTGGGATTTAAAATTTGAATTGAAAGTTCCATTCAGAACTATCGATTCAGAGAATAACGTTTCAGTGTGGGATTTAAAGTTTAAAGTTGTGTGCTGATATGGGACGGTTGGGCTCCGAACTTGACAAAATGTTTTCTTTTGGAATGATTCGGATAGAACCGCTGGTTGAAAGAGTGGAGCCTCTTCCTTCGCATATTTTTGTAGCAACCCCTGAATATTATAAATAGGGTGCCATAATTCATTTTTAATATCCCATTTTTTATGAACGTTTTCTTCATTTCAGAAAAAATAATCCAAAACCTTTTTTTCTCTAGAGTTCCAAACTTTTGTAGTTCGTTAGACTCTCTAAAGTAGGTGATGTTTTTGTAGAATCGTAAATCGTTATATCTAGAAATGATTGTCATAAACCGTAACCATTTAATAATAGAGAAATTTCGTCTTGAGAATATTGGGTAGATTACAAGTTTCGACTTAACCCACTTCAAAATTTTCTTTTTTCTGGAAATTCTGTCTAAATTTTAGAATCTCACATCGTCGGATTCAACAATAGGCGCACCTACAAATTCATGAATTAATATTACACCAAATTACAAATTTAGAAATTTTTAGGTATTTTTCTTTTGAAGTTTTAATTGATTAGACCATTTCTTTTTCGTTGTTAATAAAATAAAATAAATCGAAAAAAGGAAAATTAATATAAAATTCATCGAATTTGAACAAAGAATCTCAAAGGAAGTAATGTTGAGAGGGAGAGAAGATCACAACAAAATATTATGGGAACAGTGACTCGAGGTTCTGTCAAATCCATCAACTTTAGAAAGAAAAAGTTGTTTTTGATTTGATTTTTGGATCGACGGATGGCAAAAGAACAGTCCAAAACATTTTATTTATTTCATTATAACTACATAATTATTATAATAATAATTACAATAACGATAATAATAATAATAATAATAATTTTGTAAAATGTTTTCAATGGTTTTCGAGTGATGGGACATTTAGAGGTCGAGAGGCCATTATTTAGTTGGGAGAAAAAAATTATGTTTTTGGTGGGCAAATGGGCTTTATGGACGATACTATTACAATCATTTTTTTTTTCATATCAATTTAATTAAATTGTATATATATTTTATTTTTGCATACAACTATTTGCCAACATTCTAACAAATTAATTTCTCAATATTCTTAAAATAATAGTAATATATTTGATATAACGATTGGATCTTTCTTTGCTATTATGATTTATTGTTTATAAAATAAGTGCTAATTTAGTTGAAGTTAAAATATATTGTTTTATAAACGATCAGTCTTTATTATTGTTTTAAAATTCGAGAAAATAATTTATAATTCCACAAATGTCACATATATATATATATATATATAGTGGTATAAGTTCCATCATGTAGCTTTTAGACTAAGCTCTTTTACAACCTTAAACCCTCAAAAAATAAGAAAGTAAGCACGTGAAAATGATCGTTTTTATAATAATTAAAGACTAATAGCCCCACCAAAAAAATGTAATTAAAAAAAATGATTGATTATAATAATTAATTAGCTTCATGGCACTAGAAATAAAGGAGGAGATAATGCTCGATCGCTATCACATCATTGATGCAATTACTTGGAAATATAATGATTATTTTTCTTTTACAACGAAACCGTAAAATAAAAATTCTTTCTATCTATTTTAAATCACGTAGTAAATAATTTACGTTTATAGTTTTATTATTGTTGACATTTTTGTTCTGAAAAAACCAATTAAATATAATTTTAAAAGGTATGAAACGAATCGAATGAACCAGATAATATGTACAATAAATAAAAAATTTAATAATTTTTTTAATAAGTATAAAACCGAATTAATTTAAAAACAGATAAAAATGTACAATAAATAAAAAATTTAATAACTTTTTTAATAAGTATAAAACCGAATAAATTTAAAAACAGATAAAAATGAGAATTATCGGGTCAGTAATTGGGTTGACAAAATCAAACTAATTCGGCCCACATGAAATATATCTCTAAATTAGGCCATTAATTGGGCTGAAAGTGTAAATTTCATATTTCTAAAAAAAATCCCCCAAATTTAAAAAAAAGGGTTTTTTTTTCCATCTATTCTTGCAGTAACTTCTTGCAGTAACACCGTAAAAAAAAATCAACATTAATTAATGGATATAAAACATTGGTTTAAATAAGATAATTACATGAGGTTAGCTGATATAATAAGACTAAATACAAATACTAATCCATGGTTAGTAGGTGATTAACAAGGACAATAATTAGCCACTATCAACAATACAAAAAATAATAATCAAGAACAGACAAAGACAGAGGCAGTATTAAAGATCTGGACAACTATGAGCTCTAAGTGTCAGAATCTGTCAGTTACTGCAGACAAAGAGCTCATTGATATTTCTTGGAACATCTTTGGAGTTTGGTCGGTGGCTAGGGATTGAACCATTTTCTTGGGCACCAAACAGACATCTTCCGATGTAAATTTCTCTTGTATTACTTGAGATGCAAGCAACGCCCGAATTTCTAGTTCTAGATTAGATCCCTCCCGAGACATTTCATTCTGAGAAAAATAAGGATTAGGGTTCGTATTAGGGTTCTTGTTTGTTTAATCTATGTGTCAACATCCAGAACAGAATAATTTTGAGAGAAGAACCAGATCATTAGGGTTCTTGTTGTTTTTGGATGGTAGGATTTGGTTTAATTACTTGAATAAGTTGAAGAATTCCTACTTGAGCCTGCAAGAACTCGACATACTTAGCGGCTGTCTGAAACATCCCGCCCGTATTGAGTTTCCGACCTCCAGGGACAAGTTTTCCGAGCCCTCGAGAAGATCTGCTGTATTCTTCTCCACCTCCCTCTTGCCGCTATGCTCTGAGTGTTAAAATGAGAAGACGAATATGTGATTGGAGTAAAATAAGATTTGAGATATGATGGAGAATAATAATGAATACAATATCGTTATGCCAAATATATATGTATCTGATTTATTTCCATTGTATCTATATTTCCTTTTTACTCCGTTTCTTAATTTTCCTATAAATATGTATTTCATTTTTCTTATAATGTAATAACAAGAAGAAGAGATGTAGTAAAGATCTTACGAGATCCGGTATATTTCTACACTGAGCCGATAATGGCGGTTTCTTCCCGTCGTTTCTGCCCTTTCGATCAGCATTCCCTGTGGCAAAGCGAAACTTGGGGAATGCAGTGGAAACTTCTAGGACAAGGTCGACGAAACTAGGGTTAGGGTTTGCGAAATGGGCGACAGTGTTGCAGTGATAGCTCGAGTCGATGATGTTTTGACGTTTTGGGGGTTGGAAGAAGGAATCCGAGTCTGGTGTGAGGTTGAAGATGTCGGTATTACTATTACCAGGGTTAGGGTTAGAGATTTCTTGGGGAGGAAGAAAGAGGTCGGATTGAACATGGAAGAAGGAGCTTGTTCTTGGCACTGCACATCGGTTTCAGGGATAATCATATCCATATCCAGAATAAGGTAATCCTGGAGATTGATTGGATCCCAGTCGAAGAAGTAACTCGAGCAATCCATGATGATGAATGCAGAAGAGAAACAAGATGAAATATCTGAAATTGGAAAAAAGAAATCATTTATGAGTAATTAGCTTAATTTAGCTTTAATTACAATGAAGTGAAGTGGACTTCGACTTAGGTTTGAACTCTTTCACAGACTGCTGACACGTATATATATATATATATATATATAGTATATATATATAAGAGAGAGAGAAGTTAGGGTTTTGGCGGAGATTGAGGAGGGGTTAAGGTGGGTTTTATATAACGAGTAACCACCTCCAAATTATTAGGACATATGCATATACATATATGTGTGTAAATATATATTCTTTTATATCTTAAAAAAAAAAGACTTCTTTTATAATGATACATAACGTTCACGAAATTTGCATATTTTAGACTTGACAAAAAAAACTTTTAAATAGATATGTTATATATATATATATATATATATAATGGGTAACGTTCGTCCACATATCTAAAGAAGTATATATATAAGATAGTGCAACACTTTGATAATGTACGTGATGCGTTAGCTTGCTTTGAAATGTTACACCAAATATATATATTTGGAAATAGAACTTAACGTAAACCGTTTAGATATAAATTAATTAATATTGGAATTAATGGGTTAAATAATGAGTTATATCACGCTATGTTTTCTCAATCAACCGTTCACCAATTAATTATAATTAATAAATTCCTAATTATCTATTTAAATTATAAATATTTAAATATCGGCATTTTTTCTCCGCTGGATTCGGTAAAACGACAGCGTTTTTGGCGGCTAGGGTAGGCCCACGTGGAACCTATCTTTGCCTTGGCCGGCAAAGTTTTCTTCCCCACTGCTGAAAAGGCCTGGATTTACTTAGTGCGTTTGGGCCCAATTAAAAGACTAATGGGCCGATAATGGGCCCATGGACAAAATTCCTTAGATCCAAACAGACATTTGTCTTCTTCCTCCCCTGGTTTTCAATAGATACAGGGAGGAGAGAGATAGAAAACCCTTAAACCCTTGAAGAAGGGAAGGTCATGATATGAAGGACGAAAGCTGAGGAGAGATTCTCGCAGAAGTTTATTCAGACATGCCGTTCTTGCTTCGTATGCCACAGAACAACCTGCGGAAGCTGTCCTGTTCGATGCCTGCGCTCATGGCTTCGAAGCAATTTCTCGAGTTTCTTCCTTCTGTTCCTTCTGTCACTTTCTGCCCTTCCACCTCCTCTCCTTCCTCTTCGCGTAGGCAATTCTTTACCGCTTCTAGAAGCCTCTATCCTGTTTTTGCTTCCAGACCCATGTCCCAAAACAGCCCATTTCGCCTTAGTACCAATGGGTTTTCTTCCCCTTCTCTCTCCAGAGTGCCTTACCCTGGTAAGTGTTCGATGCTTCAATACGCTGACTTTTTCTGAAACTTTCTGTTTTTTTTTTTTCTGTTAATTCGGTCATTTTTCTCTGTTTAAGTTCTTATGGGTGAGTCCCCCTTAGGAGAATCTGGTATGCGTAATGACGTGAAAGCTTCTGGTTCATCTATGATTATTGGAATTTCGATATTGCTGCTTTGTAGCTCATCCTACGGAACATGAAGACAAGAAGATTGTTCTCTCCAGATTGGTTATCTTGAGGCGTAAACTGGAAGAACAGGGGATCGATGCTCATAACTGTCCCCCGGGACAGTATAGTGGCTTGATATGTCCTGTGGTATGTCTCTCTGTTCTGATTTCCTGAGAATTTTCAAAATGGTTGAATTCTTGTTTCTAATATGTTCGAGGAAAATCTGGAATGCTGAATATCTTGACCATTGTTATTATGGTATATCAGTGTGAAGGTGGTGAATCCGCAGAGAAAAGCTTGTCTCTTTTTATCACCCGAGATGGGTACGTTCTCGCTGTTCCGCTCTAAGCTATTCCTTTTCTTTCCGAAGTCTTTGTACATGGGCATCTTTCGTTAAATGTTCTTTCTATTTTCAATTCCGTAGTTCAGCAGCCACATGGAATTGCTTCAGGGGAAAATGTGGGACGAAAGGTGGAATAAGGGTGAGTGTTTATGCTCATGTCGGTTTGGTAATACTTTGGACTTGTCCTGACCATGCCTTTCCATACCTGTCTGCAGGTGGATGGCAGGTCTGCAAATCCAAGCAACAAAGAGAAGGTCGAAAGAAAAATCACTGTGGAGAGCCTAGAGCTAGAACCACTTTGTGACGAGGTTGTTAAAATTCTGTATATTTTGTCCGGTTTCTAATCCATCCGATCGATTCTCTGTATTGTTATATTGCTTTCTTGAGCGAGTCACCTGGTTTTTAATAAATGAGTATGATAATCTTATTCTATCAATGGCCGTGCTTCAGATTCGCGATTATTTTGCGGCAAGAATGATTTCAGGGGAAACACTTGCGAGAAACCGGGTGATGCAGAAAAGAATGGGTGACGAGGTACCTAACGAAATATTTCTCAACATGTTCGTCGTTGTCCAAGAAAGTTGTCCCTTTCTTACAGAGGAACATTACCCGACTCTTGTCTACTGTAATTATTTGTTCCTTTCCCTCTTTCAATCTCTTCTGACATTTTATGTGGCAGGTTGCTATTGCTTTTACTTACTGGCAAAGAGACGAGCTCGTGAGTTGCAAGTACCGGTATCTAACCAAGCAGTTCTGGCAGGTTCATGTTATAAAAACCCTTTTTTCGGTATGTAATACCAGACCGATGCAACTCTTTTGGAACTTAGTACACTGACCGGTTTTTACACGACTTTTGCTTTTGTTTCCCTTCAGGAGAAGGATACTAAGAGAGTCTTCTACGGGCTTGACGATATCGAGGGAGCAAAAGATATAATCATAGTACCTTCTCCACTCTTCCTATTTCCTATTCGACCAGCTTATAAGATCACAAATTATGAGAACTGAGAAAGTAAAACGAGGAGGAGGAGAAAAGAAAGTAGAAAATGAAGTTAATTTCTGTTGCATTCATATATGATTTCGTAAAGCTAACATTTACGAGAGAGAGAGAGTAACTTGCATAATGAAAAATCTTCTATTAACTGCTCGGTTAACGATATAATTAGTTATATGCAAAACATTCTCCCAGGTTGAAGGAGAGATAGACAAACTTGCAATGGAGGAAGCTGGTTTCCGAAACTGTGTATCTGTTCCTGATGGAGCTCCACCGTCTGTTTCTACAAAGGAAATCCCATCTGAATCCCAGGTCTGTTGGGCTTCGACCTCAGTTTTTTTCCCCGGTAGGTTTCTTTTCTTTTTCATCTGATGCCTAAAGCATTTTCCTGTTCTATAAAGCTAGGACACGAAATATAAGTACCTGTGGAACTGCAAGGATTACCTTAAGAAGGTATTGTGATAAGCTTTATCGTTTGATTTGATTAGTTTTTCATCCCGATTTTCTTGAAATCGGGTATCTGGGTATAAACAAAGATGGATTTTACTGGCAGGCATCTCGGATTATTCTTGCTACCGATGGGGATGAGCCTGGTCAAGCTCTGGCCGAGGAGCTTGCCCGTCGTCTCGGTAGAGAAAGATGTTGGCGTGTCAAATGGCCTAAGAAAAGCGAGTTTGAGCATTTCAAAGACGCGAATGAGGTCATATACGTATAATATTATGCAATCTATGTTCTGATTTCATCGGTTTGAGTTGATATTCTTGATTAGATCAGTGGAACAGTTTTCACAAGAGTTGTCTTGATCGATATTTTTTTCGCAGGTCCTTATGTATTTGGGGCCACATGCACTGAAGGAATCCATCGAAAATGCAGAGCTTTACCCTATACGTGGATTATTCAACTTTAAAGATTTCTTCGATGAAATCGATGCCTACTATCACCGTACCCATGGCTTTGAGTATGGTGTCTCAACCGGGTGGAAAACATTGGATACTTTATATAACGTAAGCATCAAATTTCAATATTTTGGAGTAATCATGTAAAAGACTCGTGAACTAATGTTATTTTCGAGTTCATCCTTATTTATTTTGCATCAGGTTGTGCCCGGGGAGTTGACTATTGTGACCGGAGTTCCTAATTCTGGAAAGAGT